GAAAGTACTTTAACCTGTGGTGGAGGAAATTTCATAGAGGGCAAGCTAATCAATGTCTATTTGACTTTATCTCATTTTTTTCTTTCTTTTCATTTATACAGCTATTTGTTCAGTATGGCTCTTGGTCTTGGATATTGTTCCCTGTCAAAAGAAAAATACTTTTACGTGGTTTTAGCTTGAGTTGCCTGGGAAACATGACTTGCCGAATTGATTTCTATTGCCAATTATCTCCCTGTTAATGTTTTTTTCCACTACTTAGCTTTGTATAGGGATCCTAGGTCAATGCTATTCCCTGTATTAGCTGAAGGTTCTCTCTGTCTCTCTTGCTCCCTCCTTGTTGTAATTGGGGATGCTTCTCTGTATTAATCCATTGTTAGAGACTTTCTTTTAAATTGAATCATTTTTGCAGAATAACCTTAGAGGGAAACTAGCTAAATTAGCATCTGAGAGGAGTAATATTGAGGCAGAGGTTAAACATCTGAAGCCTGGAGAGGAGGTAATATTTTGTTGAAGATGTTTCACCTGTTGTTTCATCAGGGCTGAACTGTTACTTTTGCGTTGGTTGCTCATTTTGTTTCTTTAGCTCGAGACCCGTATTGCTGAGAGGGAAGCAGAAGTAAGAAAACTTGAGAAAAAAATTAATGACATTGTGGACAAGGTGTACAGAGATTTTAGCATTTCAGTTGGTGTGAAGAATATCCGCGAGTATGAAGAAAGGCAGCTAAAAGATGCTCAAGCACTACAGGAGAGGAAGCTAAGCCTAAGTAACCAAATGTCAAAATTGAAATACCAGTATGTAACACAGTGACAGGGATTTAGCACAGACTAAAATTTCGCTTTGACTGCACATGCATTTTCGAGTATGAACAATATCTTGTTCTGCAGGCTTGAATATGAACAAAAGCGAGATATGCAAGCACCAATTGTGAAGTTAACGGAGACACATGAGTCCTTAGAGAAAGAGCTGAAGGGCTTACAGGAGAGAGAGTCTGGTGCTAAGGCTGAAGAGAAACAAATTTTGGCTCAGATGGAAGAACTGAAGACTGAGGCTGATGGTGCACATTTGAAGCATCTTACCTATTTTCTTGTTGATAGTTCTTGGTGAAGTAGCTATAGTTCCGTGAATACATGTCACATTGTGCTATAACTTTTAAATCCAGCTCTTCCAAAGCTATGCCTTCAAAACCCTTGGCCCAGCAAGCTCTTACAACTTGAAGAAACCTAAAATGCTTTCTTAAGGATGCATGAATTTTATATTTAAATTCATCAACTGTTGCTTCAGTTCCTTTTGTTATTAGATACGTACCTATACATTTATGTCAAATGATGATAAATTTTCCAAATGCCATAATGCAATATTCATTCTTCTGTTGATATTTCTAGTGAATGCAATATTCTTTCTTCTGTTGATATTTCTAGTGAATGCAATATTCATTCTTCTGTTGATATTTCTAGTGATTTCATGGACCTCTTTATTGCCCTATACAGACTGGAAATCCAAGTCGGACGAATGTGAGAAGGTTATTGATGAATTAAAGGAGCAGAATAGTAATGTTGCATCTACATTGGCAAAGCTGGATCGCCAAGTGAAATCAAAGGTAGGCTTTTCTAACAGCTGTCCTCTTCAATCAAGAGTTCTTTTATGTACTTTTAGCTGTGTCATGGCTGAGGTCTGTTCAAAGATTGCTTGCTTCATTTGTTTGTGTATTGAAATATTGATGATAATGAAACCATCCATTGACTTGTAGGAGGGACAACTTGCACAGCTTATATTACGCCAGCGGGAGGTTCATGAGAAGTGTGAACTTGAACAGTTGAAGCTTCCTACAGTAAATGACCCAATGGATACCGGAACATCCTCACAAGAACCAATCCTTGATTACAGTCAGCTTAGCGAAAGCCATCTGCAGGATATACGACCTTCTGAACGTGACAAACATGAGGCAGAGTTCAAAAAAAGAATAGGTGTGCTACTGGCTGATATTGAGCGCACTGCCCCTAATCTAAAAGCACTGGATCAATATGATGCACTCCAAAGAAAGGAAAAGGAGGTTACTGAAAGGTTTGAAGCAGCTAGGAAAGAAGAACGAGAGATATCTGATAAATATAACTCAGTCAAGCAAAGGAGGTATTGCCCAATCATTTTCTTATCACCATATGAAGTTGGTGACATAGAATTAAGTTATTTTCTAGGATGCTATATCTTTTGTAAGGACTTGCAAGATTTCTTCCATTGCACTTTGGAGACTCATGCTATCTTTTTCTTTATGGAACTGAAGTTCTTTATCTTTTACTCCCTCTGTCCTAGAATAGAAGGCATAATTGCTTTTTTTTCTAGTCCTGTAATACAGGGTGCCCAATTCTTGGCATTCGTATACTCAGCATGCATAATTTAATATGCTGCCGGTTGCATGGCTCTGCGAGATCGATAAAATTAAGCATGTGGGACCGGGGAACAATTAAACGTGGAAGCTAATTGGTTAGCCCGTTTTTGCATGCACTCATGCGGCGTCCCAGTAAAATGGGCGCAAGCCAAATCACCTCTATTGCATGGAAGTTAATTCGCTCCTTGATCTTAGTGTCAGAGGGAGTTGCGCCTTCTATTTTAGGACAAAGGGAGTAGATGATGGTCTGGTTATATTGGTGATGCTAGAAGAAAGCTCTAAGGAGTTTTTGCAGTGATAACTTCTTTCTTTCATAATTTACACTGTACTGATGCAAGTTTTTTGTTAATGTTCTTGCAATGCACGCTTTCTTTTTTAAATAAAATACTCAAACATGGATGCATAGTTGATTTTCAACTGATTGTAATTTCAGATTATCTTTGGTCAAATTAGAATGAGGTTAGGTATTTCTGGGTTGAGTAAATTCCAAAGAACTGTACTACTTTGGTAAAACTCATAACAAACCATACTTTTAAAGAACAAATATCATAGTGTGGTACTCCTTTTTGCATAACATTTGACGAGATCACGAGACCCAGTTTAACCATTAGCATCATTGTCAGTCTCGTGAAGCTTACATGATGGCAGTGTTTAGAACTGGTTTTCGGAAAGGCAGTTCTCTAAAAGTATTACTTGAAAGTGTGGTTTTGTAATAGTTTTGACGAAAGCAGATTGGTTTTGTTACTCATGGATTTTATGTTAATAATTTAATGTGTATCACAGTATCGGTATTGGTCTCAAACATGTGTGTCAACTGTCAAGTACCTTTTGAGATCATGCCCGAGGCCTGGGCAGCTTGCAAACATAAAAAAATAACAAGTAAACCTAATCAATCTTCCTGGTTACCTATTACTGTCGTCCCATCTCACCAGGACTGGTAATCACCCTTAGGCCTATGTAGTGCTTGAGAACTGAACCAGCTACGTTCCACTTTTCCCCTTGTCATACAAGCATCAATGTAATGTGACAACTTGGGTGTTGGTCTGGCATGTTAAACAATAGAGAAGAACGAATGATATTTGGGCCCGGGGTTATAATTTCTATGTTAATTGCAGTAGTTTTTTTTTCCTTAGACGATTGCGCCTTACCTGTTGTTATTTCTATTGGTGCTTAGGTATGAGCTGTTTATGGAGGCCTTTGATCACATATCTAAAGGCATCGACAAAATCTATAAGCAGCTGACAAAAAGCCATACACATCCACTTGGAGGAACAGCATATTTAAATCTAGAAAATGAAGACGAACCATTTCTACATGGAATCAAGTACACAGCTATGCCTCCTACCAAGCGGTTTAGAGATATGGAACAGTTATCCGGTGGGGAGAAGACTGTTGCAGCACTGGCCTTGCTTTTTGCCATTCACAGGTATAAAATGTTTCTAGTAATTTTCTTTCGTTGTAGTTTGGAGCCTGCAGATGTCAGATTTCTCCATTATTAGTAGTTTTGCTACTTGTTTGTTCCAGTTTTGTTCTAGTATTGAAATGTTTATGTTCGATTCTCCTTGAGTACCTCTTGGGTATTTTGGTATGCCAAGACCAATAAATTAGCCCATGAAGTATTCAGAATCAGTATTTACTGGCCTTCCCAGGAGTTTGATAAGGGTAGAGCACTGTTATCGGGGGAATATATATGTATATATATATTTTTCTGTATGTCGTGATGCATCTGGTTATCTTGCTTCGCCTTCTGCCTCAATCAAGTCACATAAAGTTTTGTGGTAATTTCAGTTTCAGGCCATCACCCTTCTTCATATTGGATGAAGTAGATGCTGCTCTAGACAATTTAAATGTGGCCAAGGTTGCTGGGTTTATCAGATCAAAATCATGTGACCGTGTTGCTGATGAACAAGGCAGTGATGGAGAATGTGGTTTTCAGAGCATAGTCATATCACTGAAGGATAGTTTTTATGACAAGGCCGAAGCACTTGTTGGTGTTTATAGGGACTCAGAACGAAGGTAAGTTGGGTATATATTACTGCACTTGCCTTTTTTCCCTTGTGCATATGCCTAACACAGTGATTGGATATGCAGTTGCTCGAGCACTCTCACCTTCGACCTGAGAAAGTATAGGGAAACATGAAGCAACTTTTGTTTGTCACTATATCTGTTTGATAGCTAGCTGTCGTGAACCTTGGACGTTTTAACTACTTGTGTACCTAAGTGCTTTAGTCGCGTAAGCTATTAGCTGAACAGGACACTTGAATATTCCGGATTCATGTGGTAGGATGATGACTTGATGTTTCCAACATGCATATACCTTTTTACCTATTGTATGATTCCTTCTAATTATTATTTATCTCCACGGTTCGCGCAACAGTTACTCGGTGAAGTGCATCGGCTCCCAGAATTTGGTGAGTTTTGCTGATGCTAAAGCACAGATTTCTAGACATTTGCGAGAAAATCTCCAGCGTTTTTTCATCCGTATTTATCATAAGTAGCAAAAATGAAGGATGAGGAGCAACTTAATTGAGCTAGAGGGAGAGAGAAAAAGAGATAGGAATTACAATAATCGGCCGGTCAATTTAATAATTAATCTAGAGAAGAAGAGAGATTACACTAGTCGTCGCCCGAGCAATCAAGGACGTGCATAGTCGGCGGAAAGCTGGCGCTGGAGCTGCCCCTGCCCCTGCCCTGCAGCTTCTTGGGTGTCCTTCGCTGCTCCGGTTGCGACAGACTCTGGAAGCCTGAGGCCCTGCTGGTGGTGAAGGACAAGGAACCGAGCAACCTGGCGGACCATGTGCTGGTGCTGTCCTCCACCAGATGGGCGTCCCAGGCGTCGTCCATGAGCCCCTGGTGCTGGTCCTCGCCGTCGCCTTCGTCCACCGTGGCCGCCCACCTGCCGCTCTTGTAGTTCGACGAGGCCCAGCAGTCGTCGTCGGCCGTGTAGGCGTCGCATTTCTTGTCGTGGCGGTAGTCGGCGTCGGAGGCGCAGGTGAGGCACATGGTGGGGCTGTCGGAGTAGTGGGAGGACCCGCCGAAGGACCAGGTGCGCGAGGTCCTTGAGGAGGCGGAGGACGAGGCCGAGGACGGGGAGGACGACGACGTTGGGCTGCCGAAGCCGCCGCCGTACACCTCGTGGGAGACCCTGATGGCCCTGCGCCGCGCCTCCCTGAGGCGGTCGGCGTCGGTGAGCAGCGACAGGACGCTGTCGGTCCGGCGCTGCATGCAGGCGCCCCAGTTGAAGCCCTTGTCGTCGACGTAGTTGAAGCTGCGGAGGTCGTGCATGGCGGGCATGTCCGCCAGGAACTCGCGCGGCAGGTCCTCGGGCCCGTGGGTGAGCAGGAACTCGAGCACCACCAGCGCCTTGTACACGGGGCGCCACTCCTTCCAGTCGGCGGCGCGGCTCAGCCTCTGGTGCAGCACCTTGGCGATCCTCCAGAAGTCGTCCATGTCGAAGGCGGCGTCCGCGATGCACGCCAGCGTCTTGGCGTCGGGGACGCACGGCTCGTTGTTGGTCGCCTCCTGGACCAGCCTGCATGGTGCATGCATCAATTGATATCGGATCACATCAACATCTTCATCATCCAGTGATCAGGCATGCACTCACAGCTCTGCCGGCGTCACGTCGCCCATCGCCAGCCTCGCCTGCTTGTACTTGTCCAGCAGGAACCCCGACGCCTGCCGCTTCACCTGGCCGGCCAGCAGCTGCCACCGCGCCGTGCTTGCGGCCATCGTCGTCGTCGTCGTCAGTCCGTCTTAATTGGAATCGGTCCAGCCAGTCGCAGCAGCAAACGCAGGAAAGTGAATGGATCTATCTACCTATCAATCCCAAACCCAAACGCATGCTGCAAAAACTGGGTGGTGGTGGTGGTGAAGAATGGAGATGAGATGGCCGGAGAGACAAAAGCGCAGTCGTGGGACGGATGGACGGTCGAGGCCGGCCGGGCATGCATGCGCGACTATGCTTGCACAGCCACTAGGCCAAGACATCCACCGACCGAATCGCGCGTCCTTCTCGGCGCCGCAGCCGGGCCTGCTACTCCACCTCCATTCAGTCGCTGCACATCCACCGTAATTTGGAACCTATATACTCGACTATTGCGCAAGTTCTACTTGTTTTTGGACTCGCCAACTTTTAAAACCGTCCGATTTATTTGTCAAAAAAAAACCGTCCGATTTACTTTCTTAAATAATTTTAAAAGCAATTTTAGCTACCTAGCTCAAATCACGATAAAGATAAACTGAACTTTCATGATATGATACTCTAGGGGGTCAATTAAATTTTATACAAACAATTATATATTTTTTTCCAAAAAAAATATCCAAATATTTTTCTGGAATGAATATGCATTAAAACGATACTAAAATCCAATTTAATAGGGAAATTAATAAAAAATATTTTAACTCGGAAAAAATATGAAATCGTATTTTGTTAAAAAATTCTCTATATTCTTGTTCCTTTTTTAGAATTATTTGAATCCTATATGGTCTTTTAAAATCTGATACTGAGCCAAATATGAAATAGAGGATGCAAACCAAGAATAAATCCTTGTAGACCGTAGTGTGAACCATCGCACAACCCACCGTGCAAATTGCGAACACTGTTTCCTCAGTAGCAATGTCTTGCTTAACCATCAAGACATGCACTGAAAATTCCAAATAAAAAATATAATTCAAGTGTTGATTGCACATTAACAACATATATCATGCTGTTTAGCTTGTAGGTAGGGGCAGCCAACATCTGAGTTCTCAGACTCCCAAACCGACGTCTACAACTTGGCTGGCATCATTCAAATGGGAGCAACCACTTTCTCATTCGTTGTCACCATCATAGTCAGCACATGCACCGAGAGCACATGATCAAGCAAGAAAGCAGTCTGGGTGGGCTTAACATGCCACGCTTCATATACATTTCCTAAAATCATGCTCTATATTATGGCGCCTAGCTCAGAAAATATAGCGTGATTTTAGAAAAAAAAATATTGAAGTGATTTCATATTTTTTTTCCTGAGTCAACAAATTTTCTGTGATTTCTTTCCTAAAATTAAATCACCTTTTAGAATTTTTAAATACATATTTATTCCAAAAAAATATGTGGATATTTATTTGAAAAAAAAACTACATTCTTTTTTAGTGGACACAGCGGTTAGGAGACATGTAAATATCTTATGTGTCCAAGAGACTAAATGGAAGGGGCAGAAGGCGAAGGAGGTGGACAATACCGGCTTCAAGCTCTGGTACACATGGACAACTTCAAATAAAAATAGAGTACGAGTTTTGATTGATAAGAGCCTCAAGGATGGTGTGGTGGAGGTGAGAAGGCAAGGGGATATGATTATCTTAGTTAAACTTGTCATTAGTGATATGGTCTTAAACGTAATTAGTGCGTATGCCCCAAGTAGGCCATGATGAGAGTGCTAAGCGGCTTTTCTGGGAAGACGTAGATTGCTTGGTTAGAGCTGTCCCTAGTAGCGAGAAGCTCTTTATAGGAGGTGATCTTAATGGTCATGTAGGTACATCAAATGCATGTTTCGAGGCGGTTCATGGGTGTTTCAGATATGGTAGTAGGAACTAGGAGGGAGAGGAAGTTTTAGACTTCGCCATAGCTTTTGATCTGATGATAGCTAACATTTTCTTCCGTAAGAGACAGTCCCATTTAGTGACCTTTAGTAGCGGCCAGTACTCTAATCAAATCGACTTTGTCCTTACAAGGAGGGATAAACGAATATGCGTGGACTGTAAGATGATACCTGGAGAATGTGTGGTCGCTCAACACAAGTTGGTGGTTGCTGACTTCCGCTTTCTTGTGCAAGCTCGTGGGAACAAACAAACTAGGGTTGCTAGAACAAAGTGGTAGAAATTAGAAGGGAAGGCATCAAAGGTCTTTAAGAAAAAGGTCATTGAAGAGGGCCCTTGAAATGATGAAGGCGATGCAAACAACATGTGGAAGAAGATGGCAACATGCGTTCGGAAGGTTGCTTCAGAGGTGCTTGGAGTGACCAAAGGGAGCGAATGCGACTCGAAAGACACTTGGTGGTGGAATAAAGATGTGCAAAAGGCTATTAAGGAAAAGAATGAGTGTTGTAAGCACTTGTATCATGATAGGTGTGCAAACAACATAGAGAAGTATAAGGTGGCAAAGAAGACTGCAAAACGAGCGGTGAGTGAGGCAAAGGGGCGGGCCTATGAGGACCTTTGCCGATGTTTGAGTACGAAGGAAGGAGAGAAGGACATTTATAGGATGGCTAGGGCTCGCAATAGGAATACAAGGGACTTCAACCAAGTCAAGTGCATAAAGGATGAGAGGGAGCAGCTCTTGGTGAAGGAGGATGAGATCAGACATAGATGGCAAGTGTATTTTGATAAATTGTTCAATGGTGAAAACGAGAACATCACCGTTCAGCTGGACGACTCGTTTGATGACACTAACAGGCGCTTTGTGCGTAGGATTCAAGAATCGAAAGTTAGAGAAGCCATGAAAAGGATAAAAAGGGGCAAAGCGATGGGCCCTAATAGTATCCCAATCAAGTTGTGGAGATGTCTCGGGGATATAGCTATAGTATGGCTAACCAAGATATTCAACAATATCTTTCGATCAAACAAGATGCCTGAGGAGTGGAGAAGAAGCATATTGGTACCAATCTACAAGAACAATGAGATATCCAAAGTTGTACTAATTATCGGAGAATTAAGTTGATGAGCCACACTATGAAGTTATGGGAGAGAGTCATCGAGCAGCGCCTGCGAGGAACGACGCAGATATCAACAAACCCATTTGGTTTCATGCCCGGAAGGTCAACCACAGAAGCAATCTTCTTAATAAGACAGGTTATGGAGCGGTTTAGAGAGTAAAAGGACCTCCACTTGGTTTTCACTGACTTGGAGAAGGCTTATGATAAGATATCAAGAAATGTTATGTGGTGATCTTTGGACAAACATAAAGTTCCATCAAAGTACGTGACCCTCATTAAGGACATGTACAACAATGTTGTGACTAGTGTTCGAACAAACGATGGTAACACAGATTACTTCCCGATTAAAATTGGACTTCATCAAGGGTCAGCCTTAACCCCGTATCTCTTTGCCTTGGTAATGGATGAGGTTACCAGGAACATACAAGGGGATATCTCTTGGTGTATGTTGTTCGCTGATGATGTAGTGTTAGTGGACGAAAGCCAGGCGGGAGTAAATAGAAAACTAGAGTTATGACGACAGACCCTCGAGTCTAAAGGTTTTAGATTGAGCACAACTAAAACCGAATACATAAGATGCAACTTTGGCAGAGTTGTACAGGAGGAGGGAGATGTGAGTTTGGAAGGTCAAGTTGTCGGGTTCATAAACCTGGGGTCCCTCATAGACCGGCTTCCCAGCAAAAAAGCTCGGCCCAGCAGACGACGTTGCGAACAACGTGCAAACTCCTGGGCTGGCCCAAACACCTAAAAATGACAGGCCAGAAGGGCGATCCAATCTCTGACTAGAAGGCTCCAAAAAAGAGGAACAACGCTCGCTTTCGACTCTGACCTGCCTCTCCGACCGGAAGGCCTGACCAAACACCATTTCCGAACTCCGAACTACGTCTCCAACCTGGGACGCACCGAACCCTACTTATCTTCTCCTCCGACTGGCGCAGTCGGAGCCAACTGGGACCAACCGACCGGGGACGCCTGCTCGGTGAGGACCAGGAAACGGATGGAGCAAGTAAGGAGGGTCACTCAAGTCAGCCGCAAAACCGAGGACCATACCCTTTACACCTATAGGACAGTACCGACAAGACATGTCAGAAGAGTGCCCTGCAAACCTTCCAGGCATGTCAGAACAGTGTTGTGGGCGCCGACATTTGCCCTACAGTGTTGTGGGTGCCCACAAAACTACCATACTGGACGAGCACAATAAAACACCTTGCATGTCTCTGGGCATCAACAGTATAGCAGGCATCGATGTCTGCAATACAAGAAGAAAACGACGCAACCTCCCACATGCATCTAACATTAACAATGTTATGGGCGCCTACAATCATCTTGTACTCGACGGCGTGGGCAACAAGACTTAGCATACATACTCTCTCTCTCTCTCTCTTGTAAGGCCATCCCCTTCATCTATAAAAGGAGATGCGCTCTCTCCCAATAGAGAGATCCCTCAGTTCATTCACACACCACAACAGAACCACTAGGTTCAAACCTTGAGCATACGCTCAAACACTTAGCACATAGCGGAGCTCCCATCACTCTTGGCCCTTTAGACCAGAGTCCGACCGAACTTCTTGTACCCCCATCTTTCTCCCTTCCGTTTGTAACCCCACAGCAAACTTCAAGCACCTGGGCTCAGGAATAAAGTCATTGACCGACTCAAACTGGACGTAGGGCACGTTGCCTGAACCAGTATAAACCCTATGTCATTGAGTGCTAGGCCACATCCGATCACAACGTACAACAAAACTACAAATATTTACGTGTTGGTCACTTTCTGCACCGACAGTTGGCGTCGTCCGTGGGGAAGACGTTGTACGTTCACAATTTTGGTCATTGGATGGCCCACTTTTCTGCCACCTTCGCCATAGCGGGCTCAAGCGATATGACTCTCTTCGGCTCGCTAGAGTTTCCCGCACTCCCACCTCTTGGGATATGGGTTCCACCCGTCTTCGAGACATTCCAGACCTTCCTCTTCGGAAGCCTGGACTTCGTCGCCGACCGGCTCGGCGTACTACACCTCCACGAGGAGGCACTTGTTCTGGC